GACCCACCCCCACCCCCCCGCCTCCGCCTTCCTCCTGAAGGAAGAGAGGAGGAAAATAGCCGGGCTTCGCCTTGCCCGAGCAAAGAGAGGGCACAGGGCAGCCCGGCTCGGGAAGCAGGGGACAAGGGGGCTGCCCGCTAGCCACTTCTCCTCTGTGCTCCACGGCCTCTGGTTGTCCTCCTGAAGAAAGAGGACACGCTTTTCTTTTCAAGAGAAAAATAGTTGGGGGGGGGGGTTGCCTTAGAGGAAGCTCGAGGAAATAGGGGACAGAGGACAACCGGACTGTCCTCTAGGATGAGCCACCCACTTGTCCTCTGTCCTCTCTCCGTACCAAACCCCACGCCTCCACGGCCTCTGGTTTTTCTCCTGAAGAAAGAGAACACGTTTTTCTTTTCAAGAGAAAAATAGAAGACGACGTGAAGGTGTCAGGTTTTGCCTTAGAGGAAGCCCGAGGAAATAGAGGATGACCAGACCGTCCTCTGCGCCGGCCACCCTAGGGGATGCCCCTCTCCGCTCCCAAAACGAGCGCTCTGCTCCGGGCGGAGATGCGCGGCGGGCGGAGGGCAACCTTGGGGGTCAAGAGCGGGGACGAGCGGGCTGCCCGCCGACTCCAGCCAAGCGGCCACCTCTTTGGAGCATCTTGCCCCCAAAGCACTGAAGAGAGAACGGCAGGAGGAAAAGGAGAGAAATCCCAGCCTAGGCCCGCTCTCCCCTGTAACTCTGCTCGAGGATTTTAAGTCGCCTTGAGCCGTGGTAGCGACCGTCCTCGAATCGAGGGATTGCTGACGACCGTGACGACGGAGTTCCCCATCACACTGGATTTAATTGGAATCGGTGGCCAGCCCCTTGGGGAGGAGGTTTCTGACACTGCAGACCTGCTGCTTATTAAATGTTATCTTTGCTATATAGAGTCTGCGGTGTTCAAATCCCGGGGCAGAGGTTGCTGCTCTGAGATGAGTGGGAGCAAGCACCTGCCTGAGCGGTGCTGCCAGCGTAACTCTGCTAACAGCGCTAGGAAGGGGCTGAGGCGGGAGGGAGGAAAGGTCACTCTTTGGGAGCACAAGAAGAGTCAAATCTTCTCGCCAAACTTTTTTATTGCAGTGCAGCTAGTAAAATACTTCCCCGTGTAGCATCTTGCTGTGCTTTTGTGTGTTCAATTCCCCTTTCCCTGCTCAGACTCTCAGAGCAAAACAGGGTCATTTGGCAACCAAGAACAGGGGGCATTTTCGACACGCACATGCCTCGTGAAAGAATCCTCTAGGAATTTGGCTCGACTGATCAGAGATAAGGAAAATGAAAAATGAGCTGATCAGCTGGCATAAGGGGAGTTGGAAAATATCAGTAATAAATACAAAATAAATATGTCCACCGTTTCTCCCCATATCTCAACCAGTGAGCCGAACCAGGCAGGAAAATATTAATGACAATGACATTTCAAATTTTAAAAAAAAAGCATGTGGAGGGAATTAAAATGTTCAGCGACTTCCTTCTTCCTCCATTTTCTGACCAACTCTCTCCAACATCACACTTACATGTATATGTGTGTGTGTGTGTGTACACACACCTTTCCCCCCCCACACACACATATAGGTGGAGTCACTCTTATATATGGTTATTGCTCCCTCGACTGGGAGGCCATTGGGCATTCGGTCGCTGTTGTGATGACCTTAGGTGTGGATTTTCCTGCTTTCGATTCCCACGGAGCAGAGTAAGCCGTGAGCAGCCTGTCATCTTCCACCCCAGGGGTAATCCTGATCAAACCATGGACCACAGAAAAACACTCTGCCCTCTAAACCTTAAATTGGACTTATAATCATTGCTCTGAGTCAGCCATATGAAAGAAGACTGATATATGATGATATAAGATATATAGATAATATATATATGATAATATTATATATATATATATTTCTTGAGGCGAAGTCTTACATATGGAGATATATCTATATCTTATATGTATGATTATACAAGCTATATGTAGGTATATATCTATAGCTGTCTATCTAAATAGATATATATATAGCTCATATAATCACATGTATTTCAAATATGGATCTGCAAGTATCCATTCAATAGATCTGTAATATATATAATCATATATATGAGATTGCTCGAGTTTCGCTAGCTTAGCTAAAGGTGTGATTTTAAACCGGTTTTGTTAAATCAACGCAGCGTGGTGGAGGTGCTCTTAGCTGACTTCACTCTGCCCCCTGGCCGTTTAGTCTCTCCGTGCTGTAATCTCTTTTTAAACTAGCACAAGTATGTCCACTCAGAGGTTTGCACCAGTTTAAGTTCTTGGGTAAACAAGCCCTTTGACTTCGGATCTGACTTCTGCCCCAGCCCAGATCAGCCCAAATGTATTGACCTTTAGGACACGCTGCAAAGCACATTTTTTAAAGTAATAGATCACTGGGGAGGCATCAAGGGGGTGGTGTTTCCTTTGGGAAGTGTAGGAACGGGGTTTTGGGGGTGTGGGTTTGCCGGCTGGCTGGCTCTGTGCTGGGTGGGTCTTGCTGTTTGTGTTTTATGGCTATGGGTTGTACAATCCATGGATGGCAGGGGGCCTTGAACTTGGACCACGAGCCTTCCTCAGTTCTTAATTAATCATCAAGCGTGTCTAGTTGTACTACCGTCACTACACCCAGGCAAACGTCCAGGGCTGCACAGAGTAAGCACTGAGCATTTGCCTTGCAGTTTGAACAGTACGCATAGCCCCAGTGTAGACAGGACCTTGCAGCCAAAGGTGACGCCACTCTGCTTCATTTCAGCTGCACCTGTCTACACGAGGGCTCAGGTAGGTGCCGTGGCCTCCTGCATCGCTTCTGTGGCAGAAGATAAAAGCTATGTTCAGACGCATCCTCCGGCTGTTTTCTGTGCCATCCCAGCTACAAAGAGTCTTTCTTTTCAGTTTCCATTTGATCCACTGACGGGCTTGAGAAAGCGAACGGATTCTGGGTAGGGAGAAGAATTAAAACGTCGGGTGGCAATACTTGCAGGTCCATATGAGAAGCGACCTGTGTACGGAGGGGAATGGACACTGC